GCCCAAAGCCGCTGAACAAAAATCCTAGCACTAATCACGATCGACCCAAGGAGCCCTAGTGGGTCAAAAAGCTGAGCAGTTTCAGATACCACAATTCATAAAACAGTACTTGTTTAGGTAGACTTTGGAATGAAAATAGAAAAACATATAATTTGTTCTGGGTTTGTATAAAAACAATATCAAGCCTAATTGTCCCATGTTGAAATTCTACGCATAACTGTCCCACAAAGATTTTCTTGAGTCAATCTACTATCATTAACGAATCGATTTGTGTACACAAATGTTTGAAACTGGATTTATATAATCAAAAGTAACGGTATGAACCATTTTATGAAGTGGAAGTTTTATTTTATGTTCATGATTTCATATTAAAACACCAGTTTCTAATTTCAAACAATGCCTTATTAGACACTTACGTAGACACTCTCCACCCCCACACTCCCCCTATAGTGTCTACGTGTTTCATGAAAAGCCACTTTTATAATATGATATTACGCAGCATAAAGGTCGCCTCCGTACGGAAGAAATTTGCATGTGCATGTCAACTCATCCAAAGTATTTCTTGAAATCATCGAAGCCCACGGTCAACGATCGTGTAACGTATTGATCTTTTGTCCACAGTATGTCAGCCACCATAAATCTATGGTTGGACTCAAAATGATTAAGCACAATCTCTAAAATAAAGATTAAAAAAAAAAGAAAAAAGATTAAGCACAATCTCCTTTTGGCCTACGTTCATCTTGCTAAGGAGTAGAACAAGATGTTAAGAAGTTTATGTTCTAAATAGTGCATTCATCATTAGTTTCTTGAAATGCCCATACTTTTAATGGTTTTATAGAAGAAGCAATGTCAACAAATTTATTGTTGGTGTAATTTAATGGTGGAAAGCTATACAAATTATCCAGGATCTTCCAAAACTTCGCGGAGAACGCAAGCACGCTCATGCAAGCTCAAGATTAAAGACGTCAAACGCAACGTGGCCATCAAAGCAACACTGAAAGTAACAGTTCCTAGTGGGACTAACATGCGTAGAATATCCTACTTTATTGCAAATTTCTAGGCATAACAGTCCCATTAAATATTGTTCCTTTAAAAACCGGATTAACGTATATTTCTTCCAATGAGCAGAAATGATTCGAAACATTATTCACGATTTTCTCAGAAGCAACCTTTGAAACATGGGACTGATATGCGTAGAACGGCAGTAAAGCAGTCACCGTCGAACGACAAATTTCCATCTTAGGGGCGCTTTCCCACAGGTTACTAGGAATGTGATTTAAGACACTCTGGTTGTTGTTGCTCTTTTTTTCTCAACGAAAATCCTCCCAGGCTGAGTAGCTCCCGTAATTGACGACAAATTTATGTGGCTTCTTCTAGGCTGTCACTTCCAGCTAGAATGTCGTCAACGTAGAAACGGCTTGATTACAACATCCGCAGCGAGAGGGTAGTTGTGACCATCGTCTTCGGCAAGCTTGATGAGCACCCGCGCAGCTTGGTACGGCGATCAAGCAAGTCCATAAGTCACCGTTTTCAGCTGATAGACTTGCAGTGGCATAGATTGTTCCCGACGCCATACGATCTTTAGATACCGCCGATCCGCAGGATGCACCCACATTTGGCGAAACATTTTTTCCGCGTCCGCAGTGAAGACGTACTGCGGCATCCGGAAATTAAAAACGCTGGATAGCAGTGGTGGTTGTACAGTGGGGCCAGTGTGAAGAATATCGTTGAGAGAAAGGGCACTGGATCCTTTGCTGCTAGCGTCAAAGACAATCCGAGTTTTTGTCGTGCTGCTTTCTGGCCGAATTCGGGAATTTTGATCTCGGGAAGCTTCACAGATACGGAATGGTTAGCAGGGGGTACATTTTGCATTGACGGGCGTGGTCCAGGGGAAGAGGGATGTGAAGTTGTAGGGCAGGGAAGCTTGCTAACAAGAGATGCTTTGAGTTCGAAGTACAGATTTTGAAACTCTTGACGAGTTTCCGAGAAGCCCTCCTCTTGATCCTCTAACGCTTCGCTTTCATCCTCCGTATCCTCAAACTTCTCCCACAGGCCATCTAAACGCTCAATTCTTATACCAACTTGATTGATTTGAGTAACCTCAAACTCTTCACCAAACCGTTGAATTAGTTTAGCAGAACCGAGTATGTTGTCTCTTCTACGGTGAAGACTTTTTAGATGCAACACATTTTTCCACAGAGAAGATTTTTTGGGCAAACTCATCTTCAATTAGCATAGACAAAAGGTACCCACCTGCCTTGATGCTTCACTTACGATCGTCACGTGATTGTCGTAACCTCAACTTCTGGAACAATATATCGGAGCCAGCGTACCTTCTGGAGTCTTCCTTTTTCCTGGTGATCTGCAGGGCACGTGCGACGAGAAATTTGGCGCAGTCAATTGGCCAACGACAGTGACGAGATCCAGCGTGCTCTATCACCTACGGTAGAAGATTTCTCCTTATCCAGAACGATATCCTCCTTCAGACGACGAATGGGAATTCCTCCCGGGTTTCGGCACCATAAATGTTCGTGACGCACTCGCGAACTTCTCAACAAATGACGGCGTACCAGGAGTTCAGGAAAAACACGAAAGTTAAACTTGACAGAGTGAACTTAACTGACTCGAAAGCGAAACGCGGCGGACTGTTCGACCTCTTCGGATTTGGAATTTAGACTTGGGTATACGTTTGATGACTTTGATGGCTGTATTCATACTGAAGTTCAATCGTTTTACAAATGCATGGTTCTCCTATCTATTTTATCAATGAGTATGTGTAGGTGAGCAAACGGAAAGGAAATAGATCAACGCGAACTATATTGGTTTCATTTTTATAGCGATACGTTTTCCCTACACTGAAATTTATTTTTATGAGTTTTATTTCAATAAGTTAGTTTCGAAAAGTATAACAAACTTAAGCTCTCGACAAGTACTATTCTGTCCCAGTGGGCACTAGTTTCCTAGTATTGCTAAGAAAACTGAAACGAAATTAAATGCTTTTCAACGTATATACTTCGGTGACATCGTTCCCTGGTACATAAGCGTAGTTTTCACTTGATGATCTATTCATTGTTCACCAAGTAACCTTAAATCATCGCTATACAAACCGTACGTTTTACGACTGGGTTCTTTAGGGGTATTGAGGACTACACTGCCCATAATCGCATATCAGTCCCATATGGATAGGAAATCAAGCAAAGATGGGACTGATATGCGATTATGGGTAGTACATGTCAAATGGAACCGAAATCTTAAATTTCATCAACATTGAAATTATTTTAAATAAGTGTGATTAAACTAGCGCCCTTCGGTGGTTCTTTGTATGGGAGCGAAATATCAATGTGTTAGTTTAGTGTCAAACAGTGAAGTGGCTATTTTGTTTTACTCCGTTACAAAACCAACACAACACAACGCAAACATTGAAGTGGTTGTTTGCTTAAAATATTAATTTAAAAATCAAAATGGGAGTAAATAAAATCGAAAAAAAAAATCTTTGCGCTCAGAAAGCGAAGTTCTTTCAGATGACGTATAGTAACCGATATATTTCTCAAAATTAAATAACTCAATTTATGGCGCTCCAATAGCTTTTGGAGCTATGTTGGCTGATGCAAATATTATTTTTATTAAGGGGAAGTTTACCACTCCGAATATATTTTTTTCGGCATGTTTTTTATTTTGCGAAAAATTTGGAGAAAATAATCAAAAATGCAAGAAAAACAGTTTTTCCTGGTGCTCTACCTAACGGGTAAGCTTTACCTCGGTACCTGGTAATTATTCTTTATTTGGGAAAATATCCTAACGGTAAGCAAGGTTGCAAATACTCATTTCAGATAAAACAATGTTTTTTTAAATTATGAAATAATTAGATGTCATGATCATATTTTGAATTGGTAGGATACAAGAGGAGGTTGCAAATAATGTGTTTGACATATTAAACCTGCTTATTTCACTTCATGAGAGTCACAATCAGCGATTTTTCACAAACTCACTAACTCACTCACTCACTCACTCAGCGATCAGAAAATCGCTGATTGTGACTCATAGAAAGCAAAATTTACAGGTTTTATATTTCAAACGCATACTTTGTAGCCTCTTCTTGTAAGTTACAAGTAAAACATACCATCATACCATGTTTTGGTTTTATTATTCCGAAAAACATTATTTTAGCTGAAATGAGTATTTGCAACCTAAGAGGTAAAAAATAGTCAGACGAACGTTGCAACGAAAAGTGTACTTTTTATGATATATGTAGCAACATGGCAGCGAAAGTGGGAGGTGTGAACAGTTAAACTCCTCCTGGAAATCACCCATTGCACGGTACACTCGGATACACTTTCGCACTCGAATGAATGCTTGCGTCCAAACCATCTCTATTGAATGATGCCACCCACACATTCCCCGTCTCGTCCCGAGAAAATGAAATGAAATTAAGAACTATTTAAAAACGGGCTACGGTGTGCCTTCGAGGAAAAAGAAAAAAAAAAGTAAGAGGTTGTATCCAAGACACGACCATAGATTTGACGTAGGATTACGAAAGGTAGTATAGCAAAAGTATTGTAAATATTAAATTGATTTCTTTTCTTAACTGAACTTCTTTCTTATTAGTGAAAAATTTCGATAGGTTGAAATTCAAAAGTTATTTGAGAGTTCTGTTTTTGATGTGCTCTGTCTGTTATTTGAAGTCTTCAATAAACTCTTTTATCAATCATTTGTGGTCCTGAAAAGGACCGATTGGTTGGTAGCTTGTAAGCCAGTTTAGAACAATGCTGTGGAATTTTTTCCTCGGTGTTCTTGGAGATGATAGCGGTGCTCATGCGTTGCACCTGGAGCTATTGGTGAACAGTTTGGTGAAGAGCGTTGGCATAGTAGTCCTCAATTGATGTTCTTCGAGAAGGTGGAAGCAGTGTTCATCCTTTGCATACAGATGATTGAGATTCTATCAAATGATTGAAAGAATATTTATATACTAGAATTTTCAACATTTTGTGAACTATTACGGTATATTTACCAAATTATTGATTTTGGTTGTACTGTGGAATGATAAAAATGTGGTTATCGCTTTCGTGTCCTGGAAGAAATAGCTATATGGTAATGGTGAATCACAGTTTATAAAAATGCACTTACTGTGGTTAAATCTCAAGCACTGAGAGTATCGGTCTGTGGTATGAAAAATACGCACAGTATCTTATACATTCTACCCGAATGCTCCGAATGAAGGTAAGATCTAGACACGACCCACCGAAAGTAGTGGCTTGACTTCGATCTGAGGCTAAATCGAGATAAAGGTACGTTTTCATGAAGTCGATAAACTCAAAGTTTTCAGGCTTCGACACATCGACGTTGAAATCCCCAGTTATAACAATGGGCATTGTGACACGATTGTACATTACCAGGTTACGCGCTAAGAAATATTTCTTTTGCTTAAGAGTAGTACCTGGTGAAAAAAGCAAAAAAACAAAACAAAAAGATAAGTGAGATATACAAGAATATTTTTTTGTTTTATACCTGGTGAAATATACAACGAAAACAGCATCGTGCGAGCTCCCATGACTGAAATTTCTACAGCGCAGATGTCACCGTACTCGTCTGCTCCATCCAACAGCTCATCGTAGCTGGCACTGAGTTTATCAATGACGTGAGAAACGGCCATGGTAGATGCAGCAGTGTTCTGAAAGATGGCTACCCCTCCAGCTCTTGTACCGTCACGTTTTTCTTGAGTGATGCAGTCGAATCCAGCTATAGATGTGCTTGTGCAGTTGTCTTGCCAAGTTTCACTCAACGCAAGCAAATCAACGGTGGAGAGAACACGATCTGTTGCAATATCTGATGCGTGTGCATTCAGGCTTTGTACATTTATACTCATCAGCATACAAGCTGATCTCTTTAACATTATGGCTTCCATGACATCCTCTCCGATGGTGCGCAAACGGTGATTGCTCAAACGCTCAAGCTCTGTTCGAAGATCGCGAATTCTCGGCGTTGTAGCGCTTTTTCCGTGGTGGAACTTGAAAACATTGCTAGAGTTCGTCAAGTATAGTCCTTCGATGGAAGTAACCCTGGAAAGGCCAACGTAAACCAGTTGTTGCTCCTGGCTTTTCTCATAATTATAAACAACTTCTGCAAACGTGCCTCCTTGGGACTTGTGTACCGTAAGGGCACATGCACTCACCACCGGAAATTGAATTCTCTTGCACTTAACTCCACCGTTAAGGCTGATGTTTGCTGATCTCCTGGCGATGGGGGTCCACTCAGATTTTAAAACACCGGGCTTTGAGTACACCATCGGTCTGGCCTTCACTCTCAACGTCTTCCCAATGGAGTTATTCTCGAACATCATCCAAAGCCTCATGATCTGCTGCAGAGGATCATCTTCGTTACGCTCGACAAACATAAGCTCCCCAATCGCGCCATTGACGATTCCATCTTCAACATCGACATTGGTGGTTAACATGTACGGTGTACCCACCGCAAGCCGCAGTAAATAGGGCAGGCAACCAGTCTCCACTACGCTCATCTTATGCACCTTTGTTCGAGCACTTGCCAGCTGGGGATTGTCCTTATACCCTGAATATACATCATCTGCCGTACATTCGATTGTCTCTCGATCGATCAATGCGACGGAATTGTAGCATTCCACGTCGACATTTCGATGGAATAAGCGAATTGCACGCGGTACATGCTGCTGACACCACTCTGGTGTACGGAATCTGCTTTCGATTAGGCTGATTTCTTCCGGGGACAACTGTTCGCCGTTACCGATTTTGGTAAGGATTGTAGAAAACTGTACGTTTGTTTGCCGCATAACCTGAACCAATGGGTAGAAATCGAGGGATTGCCATAAAACGGCACCGTGCATTGAATTCGCACTTGGTTTGAATACTGGCCGTGCATTCACTGGAGGTAACTGCCGAAGATCACCGCAAAATACAATTCGCATTCCACCGAATGGATCATCATAGTTCCCTGTGATTTCCTGGAGCCGGACGTGTACGGTGTTGAGAACATTAGCACCAAGCATGCTGGTTTCATCGATGATGATGGCTTTCACGTTTGCAAAAGCATTGCGATACAGTTGCAACGCCTCAAAACTCAGCTTTGAGCTTTGCCTGCGGGACATGGTGATCCGAAACGCAGAGTGAACGGTTGTTCCACCGATCGCAACAGCTGCCTTCCCAGTCGATGCACATGCTACATATGCATTATTTTGCGTGTTGTGTGCCTGACTGAACCGATTGACTGTCTCCATAAGAATTCGCAATGTGAATGTCTTACCACAGCCTGCCGGGCCAGTGAAGAAAATTTGCAATGGTTTGCTGTTATCATCGAAGGTGTGTAAGCTGTGGATGACTTGCAGGATCAAATCACGCTGCTCCGCATTTGTAGCACGTACCATCTCACAATACTCCTGCTTCGACATAACGTTGGAGCGCTGTTTGACAACTGCCGCCAAGGGTCCAGTGGGCAAGTTATGAATGTCATCGTCATTTGGCTCCATGCTGATTATGCGGACGAATTCATCGCGCTTCTTGCTAGCAACCTCCGTCTGCTCGTCATCTACACTAGAAAGACGAAGATATTCCTCCACGACCTGATCCAGGTTCATCTCGCAGTCATACTCTTTGTGTTTGGCGAGAATGGCAGTCTCGTTGTCTTCATACAACTTAAGAAACTTATTTCTATCGAGTATATCGCAGACTTCATTCCTGAATGGCAAGAAGAGCAGTACCATCTCCCGTTTGTACTCGACCAGTTCCGACATGTTGAATGAGCACCAACGCAATACACGAGGTAAGCTTCGCGGCTTGTACAAATTCATCGTGCTCCTTTCCTCCGTATAGTGTGCAGCAAAATCCGCCAAACATACTTCGTCCATCCCTACACGCGACTCATATCGTTGAATCATGTTGAGGGTCCAAACATCGGTGGAATCATCTTCAAGTCCTTCTTCATCCATTTGCTTCGTCCGTTTCCTGGATTTAATGCGCTCATGTGGCCACATTGTTGGAATGAATTCCACCTATAAGATTACGACAAATGATAATTATGCTCAACTGATACAATTTTTCATCTACAAATCAGTACCTTACGGCTAGCTTCCGACATCGGTTGCCGAAGCAAATACCATGCAGCTTCCTGGGCAGACATTTCAACGCTGTTAAGCATTTTAATGCTGACCTTCTTCAGCAATCCATTATAGTCCTGGTCTGGATGCTCTTCTTGAAGTTTTATTAGTTCACGGTGTAAACTGCTTATGCCCCTGTTCGTTTTATTCACATATTCTACGACATAAGCAGCACATGAGAACTCTTCTAAGATAAACTGCAAATCCATGTTGGAGCGGAGGATCTTCGCGATCCAAGGGTTGAAAGGATTGGTCCAGAGTTGCGTCATTAAACGTTTCAGCATAACTGTGGGTCGGCGAATGGATGAACGGATCACATCGAGGTAATACTCGTAAGTGCAGTTGCATTCCACAAGGAACGCTTCTAGGTTTTCGAAAACCTTTGATTCAAGAGTTTCTCGCATTTTGATAGCTAGTCTGCTCAACTGGTCGAGGCGGCCATCACCTGCCGCAATTGGGATTAATATTCTAGTCTGATCCATCGGCCAGTATGGTATATTGAACCGGCATCGCTTATCATTACGTTTGAAGCAAGTAAACGTATGCTTATGAACCTAGAAGTATTGAAATTCAATTGTAATCACTCGTCGAAATATATGTAATCTTCATGTACCTGATTGCCATAAGTCTCAGGTAAGTCTTCAACACTAACGGAGCAGAGGAAATCGATCAGATCAACAGTCGCAGGCATATTCTCCGACATGTCTTCACGAGGATCGTTAGCCAACCAGAGAAGAATGTGAGCGTGGGGACTTCCGCGATGTTGGAACTCTATGCGTTTAAAGTAATCAACAACATAGTATTTCCCAAACGGGCTGTATCTTGTAGACGAAAGCAGCTGTATAATCACATTGACCAATTTATGGAAGTATGCGCAGCATGTTACAGGATCTTCGCTTACAAGCGTAGCCCGTTGTAATGCAGTTAATTGTTGCATGAAATCTACAACACCAGCATTATTGCACCTTCCCGATAGTTTGTGCAGTATGGCTAGCAAATGTGGCCATCGAATTTCACTTGCGCTTAATGTGAGAAACATAGTTGGCTTCCCCAACTGACGGATCATTGCAAAAACATCACGTTTTCTTTGCTGCCAGTACTGCATCGAGTTAGGGATGGATTTAAGGAACGACAGGTTACGCTCGATGCATGTCTCCAGAAATTCTCTATCTTGCAACTGGGCTCGCGTAATATTGGCTGTACCCATGCATTTGAAAGTGTTTCTCAAACCTTCAGAAACTCGCAAACGCATTATCTTCATCGCCATGTACAGAACATGGTCGGGTTTTGCCCCTCGTCGATCACGGCGTCTTATTTCGCTGGTAGCCATCATAAATGGTGTTACGTGAACTTCAGGATTGAAGGTTCTTGGATGACCCAGGTAAATATCTGGGAAAGACAACTCCTCAGCAAACTCATCGTAAATGATGGATAGCGGTGTTCGATTTTGTCCCGGCGCGATTTCGAGACACTTGTCCTCATTCCACAAAAGCGTATGCTGTTGGCCAATGAGCAGCTCAACCTCGTTCGACGCGTCAATTGCCTCTAGTTCAATCGAAGCTCTCACAACCGGGGATGTAGCAGGTTGCTGTGCTGGTCCGATAGACGTCAAATTATCTTCGTTGAAAACAATGCCGTTTCGTCTGTACAACGGTGTGTTGACAAGGAAGTTCAGCCATGCCTTAACTGTTCCTTTCTTTACGTATCCGGACAGATAACTAGACTTATGGATCATGTGTTTCTTGATACACACATTGAACGCATAATCATCATCCAGCTGACGGGGAAGCTCACTCACCATCTGGTTCACATCCACTGGAACATTGATTATCTGGCCAATAATCTTCAAACTACCTGTTTCACAAAAATAAATTGAGTTTATCAATGAAAGATTAACTAAACGTCATTCTACAAACCTGCTGCATGACGCAAACGGCGAAGTTGCATGAAATTGACTCTCGGTGAAACCAGTCTCGTGGTCAACGGATCTAGTGGAGGCAGATTTGACGGAAAGTTGGGATATGTAAAGCCGTTCGTTTGCGATAAAGTAGGAATCGATCCACGTTTCAGGCTGCTTCGGCAAGTTAGACATGCTAAGAATCCTTCCACAGTTTCAAAATAGTTCGTCACCAGCAAAACGGTAGCATCGGCAGTAGTTATTGGCTTCAGATCATTCCTAAACCAAATTCTTGCACACACGTCACATGCATAACCGAAATCGTTTTCCATAAAACGTTTCTTGAACTCCCGGTCAGCACGATCGAAATTGGGTTCTCCTTGAGTCGAACGCAGCGAAATAATCATATCATCATGGACACCATCGCAAACGTTTTCATCCAAGATCCCATCGTTGACTTCTTCTTGCGTGGGACACGGCGAGGGAATTTTAGAATCACGAAATGCATCATGTGTCACAGTAACACTATCGACGTTTGGTTCTTCTTGAGCAGGACGTGATGAGTTTTGCACCGGAATAACGCGGGTGGTGTTGAATTCTTGCCAAAGAAGACGCGATGAGAACATTACTTTTGAACATAATTTACCACAGAATAACATTGACAGTTGCAACACTCACTATGTGAATCGAGGGTATATAAGGAAAAAATGTGGAACAGGAACCGATGCCAAAATATAAAACTGCTTTTCTTGAAGATAAATACTCAGTCCACAATAATTAACAAAATAAAAATCTATTATATAGATTTCACATCGTGTAACTTTATAGCATATAATAAATTGATCTTGTATTGAGCTACTAGTGGAATAGATATTGAGCTGCTTGGTTTGGTAATATTAAATTAAATATCATACTTTAAAGGCACAAGTTTATCTTGTTTTGTACAGCCTGTTATGCATCCTGAACACATGATAATGTATCCAATATATAATCGAAACCTTCAATCAAAAGGTAATGAATTGTTCATAAATATACCATACAATTAAAAAAACCATCCACCAACCAACCACCATAACTATTATAATTATTTTATATGACTGGTGGCTATGCAGCCTAATGGTTTTAATTTTAACTTAAAGGTGGTTTAAATAATTGCAGGGCTGTTACAAGATTTTCTAAATTTGATCCGCGAAATCCGCGATTTCTCAAAATAAATCCACGACTTCAAATACTAATCCGCGACAACAAAAACTGTTTTCATTGCCTAAAACTACCATTTGTATACTACTACATGGCATTTCAAGCTTATTGGCTTATAGCATATTAGATTTTTGTCAGCTTTCAACTTAGTAATCTTTGAAGTACTTTCACATTTTAATTGAGAGCTTTATATGCCTGTACCATCCTATGCCCAAGGAAGTAGAGAAATTTTCCAACCCGAAAAATGTATAGACACAGTCGCCTCCAGCATGGCAAATTTGAATTTTTTGGCTCTCTGGAGACTGGTAGTAAAGCGGGTAAAATTGTATGGGGAAAAATCATTTTTAATTAATTGTAGCTTGATTAACTATAATTTCCGGGAAAAAACTGAACGGCAAATTCTCTAATAAATTTCTTTAGGTTGTCGTTCACTTTTTTTGACCTGAATATGCACCGAAAGCGAATTATTCCCACTTCTCTCAATTTCTATATGGGGATTTTAATCACTTCCTACCAGCGGAACAGCGCCATCTCTGTGGAAAATTGTCGAACAAAATAGTCAATTAGTCTTGGGTGATTTAGTAGAAAAATATTCTGATCTCCAATATGATTTCAGAACCTATAACATCTTGTATACGTTGCAATAGGTCAGGTACAATCAGACACTTTGAATCTGCTTGGACATATTTCGATACTACAGACATTATATTACAGTCTTGGTTGATATAGTAGAACAAATAAACTGAACTCTAGGATGATTTGTAGATCCTAGAATATCCGGTATACATTGCAATTACTCACATATATACGATTCGTTTATGATTTGACAACGAAAAATGCTATGTTCATATTGGAAATAAAAAGAAACATGAAAATGTCTCACATTGGACAGACCCCAGAGAATTTCCGTGTAACAGAGTTAAGGAATTGAGATCATTTCTCGATTATTTGCAGGGTGTTAGCTTATGCAAAAGCTTATGTTTGAATCAGTTGATGTGTACAGTAATAATTAGATTTAATCAGCCCCGTTTTTTGAAAATCATTTAAAACCATGCGCTTGTCCAGTCGTGTAATTGCACCAAAGTGCACCTTAAACATCCATCTTTAAGAAGAATAAGAAAGTTTTTAAAATTACGGTTATATGTTATCACTGAGAGTTATAAGTATGATGCGCAGAGGGGGTGATAAAATCGAGTAATCACTGTGTCCTTATTTATAATATTTAAAATCAGCAATAACACTTTTTTACTGCTGAAAATATACAAAACGGCCTGCACAACACTATCGCAATGCAAACAACAAGTTTACTCATGTTGTTTACCAATTTATTCTTTTGAAACTAAGAAATAATCGTGAATTATCACTCTCAGATGCTTTACAAACAATGTACATCTTTATTTCAAAGGAAAATAGGCAAATGTCCTACCTTGTCTTGAAGACCCTTCTCCAGCATCCCAACCAGTAGATAAAGCAATGTTGTCTCTAGCCGTTCTGATCCTGTCTCGGTAACACCGTTTTCTTTCAGCATCAGTTTTCGGCTGCTTCTTCGGAGGTTTGTCCGCTTGCTCTTCCTTTGCGCGCTTACGTGATCGGCGCTTGTATTGTGTAGCCAAATGCTGCGACATGACTTTATCGATAAACTCGCAAACAATTTCTCAATTATCAATTACTTCGTACAATTATAGAAATTTGAATAGATTGAACTGCCCATCAATTTTGGTATTCGGAAATGAAATCTGCATACCGGACGGTACTTACCTTTATGCTTTTAGATGCAAATTTTAAGCCCCTCCTACTAAGAGAATTCGACAAGATTTGATTTTGGCATAATTCTCTTAATAGGAGGGGCTTAAAATTTGCATCAAAAGGCATAAAGATAGGTACCGTCTAGCATGCTATCACGGTATCATGGAAAAACTTCGTTTTATGATGACGTTATTATGTATTGCCGTGCACAAAACGCACGGAATTTTGGGCTTTTTCCATAAATGAAAAATATGCGAAAATTGATTGTAGGAATCTAAGATGGGATACCTCGACAATTGTTCAAATATAACTCTTTAAAAAATTTATGGTGGTCCTGAGAAGGGCCGTTTTGTCGTGATGGTTGAGTAATGCTGAGCAATTTACTTTGATGCATTTTCGAAAAATTCAAAAGAAGTTTTTTTCGACGCATTCTTTCAGATTGCTAAAAGCTCGCGTCATTTTGTGTAGAATAGCAAAAGGAATCGAATAGTGCGAGCATTTTGCAATCTGGACTAATGCGTCGAAAAAAACTGCTTTTGAATTTTTCGAAAAAGCATCAAAGTAAATTGAACCTTAACACTGATGAGGCTGTCGAGCTGTATGTTGTTTGAAGCGAGGGTGACACGCTTGGCATAGATGACCGACCCGCACGGAGCGACTCACGAAGAGCTACTGATTCTGATTCTGATTCCAAGCGGTGGGGCTTCTTCTTCCTATAGTTGCTTATGTGGGCTCTGCAGCTCACTGTTTGCAGGCAACTTTTCGTAGCGTACGGGAGAAAATGTTCAACAACACGCCGAAAGCATTGCTGCTGCTGCTGCTGCTGCTGCTGCTACTGCTACTGCTGCTACTGCTGCTGCTGCTGCTGCTGCTGCTGTGGACACCGTCGACCGGACACCACCACACACGGTGATTGAATGAGCACCATTCAGTGAGACAGGATCGAATTCGATTTTTAAATCTGTGTTAGGGAATGCGCTGATTTCAGGCAATCGGTGATAATTTTGATCACCATTGCAACAGTCGGGCATTTGTGTATTTTACAATAGTGACCTATTGAAAATTAATAGTGTTCATTTTAGCAGATTGGTAGATAAATTTCCAATCGTTTGGTTTGTTTAGAATTAAAATCCATCTGCTATTGGTAGAAACCTGACCAATTCAGGCCTTACATTAATTTGATAACGGCACAAAAGCATTTGTAAACAAACTTTCTAAGGCCTTTTACACGCAAACCAAAGTATGCCCGCGGAAACCAACAACATCATCGGATAGGGGCAACTATCACCTTTCCGAAAGTGGTATTGGTTTGCGTGGGCGTACTTTAGTTCGCGTGTAAAGGGCCTTAGAAAGTTTGTTTACAAATGCTTTTGTGCCGTTATCAAATGTTATGCCTGAATTTTCGAAATGCGGTCGATTTTGGTTTTTTTTTTTGGTAAATCATGTGAAGATCTATCTAGCCCTGACGTATGTAATTTCAAGTAGGTCCTATGTAACATTGACAGATTCTCTTCGTCCACTTTCTCTTTGCACCCCACGGCCATGTAAAGATGTACCCAGGTATTTTCAGCACACAGATCGATAAAAGAAGCTTTTATCTAGCATCTTATACGACAAACACATCAAGAAACGGTTCTATGCTCAAGTTATTAAAGAGAAAGAGAAAGTCGACGAAGAGAATCGATCAATGTTACTTAGGACCTAATGCAATGTTCAGCTTGATTTGTGAAAGTAAAACAAATCCTAGCCAGCTCTGCATGATGATTTTGTTTGATTGCATTATTTTGTAAAGCCGCCGGGAAATACCAGCTGGTGATAGTTTTTTTTTAGATAACTCCTTACTAGAAAACAGGCAAAAACTCACAAACCAGCTTCATTTCATGATATACAGTGTGATAATTAAGTAATCAATTAATTATCTCAACATCTGCCACTAACCATTCATAAATTTCGGTAACATACAAGAAATTCAATAATCCATATTAAATTTCCTATGTAAGCGTCGATCGAAACAAACTTTTTGACGTAACTACAAGGGTGATTGAGTAAACAAATGAAACTAATTGTGCGAAGCGGAATGAACATCGAGTGAAAACGAATTGCACCAATACATTCAGGCCTACAATTCCACACCTTCTATAGACCAGGCTGAGCTTTGATAATTAGCTGCTTGCGGGAACTGACATCCGATTGATGACCTTTACAAATGTCCAAAACATACTCTTTAATAAATTTGTGGTGGTCCTGAAAAGGACCTTTTAGTCGTGATGGTTGAGTAATGCTGAGCTATTAGGGTGTTCAACAAGGATGAGGCTGGCGAGCTGTTAATTGTTTGGAGCAAGGTTGACGCGCTAGGCATTGATGACCCACAGCTACTCACGAGGAAACTGATATCGATCGCGACGCGGCTTCTTCTTCCCTTCTATGGATGCTCGCTGCTTTCAGGCTGCCTTTCGTGATGTACTGGAGAACAATGTAAACGCCACACGCCGAAACTGCTGCTACTGATGCTGCTGCTGCGGACACCGTCGACCGGGCACCACCACACACGGTGATTTAATGAGCACCTTTTAGTGAGACAGGATGGAATTCGATTTTTGAGTCTGTGTTAGGGAATGCGCTGTTTGCAGGTAATCGGTGATAATTTTGATCACCATTGCAACAGTTGGACATTTGTGTATTTTTTAATAGTGACCTATTGAAAATTAATAAAGTGTTCAATTTAGCAGATTGGTAGATAAATTCCCAATTGTTTGGCTTGTTTAGAATTAAAATTCATCTGCTATTGACAGAGGTATATGTGGTCAAAACCTGACCTATTTTCGTCCCGCGGTCGATTTTGGTTTTTTGAAATTGCACCCCCAATATGTTGCCGAAAGACGTAATCCTACGTCAAAACATAGTAGCCTGAGTCTTCAGCGGTTCTACTTTTTTGACACAATGTCTGTGAATATCGAAGCAAGAAGACAGAATTTCTCAGGAGAACGTGAATGCACTGGAGTTTGTACCGAGCTTTGCCAGCACGACAGCTTCGGTCACGACGGTTGCAGTAGTGGTGCCGGAGCCGACTGAAACGCCAACTGCCAACACCACCAAAGGAATTTCCTCGTCCGGCGGAGGAAATACGCCAACTTACGCAGCGACCACAACGACGCCACCGTCGAGGAGTGCAGCCCCGACGCCCATGGATGTGAAGGGATACAAGGAGGCCAAAACGTCGGAAAATAAAGGTAAGTCCCGTTGTTACCACATTGAGCAATTTTCGCTGTGTGGGGTGGTCAGGCGGAGACACTCCTTTGCCGAGTGGAGCAAAAGCAGCAGCAGTAGCAGAATAGGTGGAGGGGGAACAAAAGTAAAGAGGAGCTACGTAGGTAAATGCAGTCGAATCATTTTCCGAATAATGGAATTCACCGAACACCTGCTACTCTTTAATACTGTCGTGTTCTATCGCAACGTTCTTTCAATAACGTCTAGACAAGAGACCTTTCAGTATTACAACATCCGCAGCGAGAGGGTAGTTGTGACCATCGTCTTCGGCAAGCTTGATGAGCACCCGCGCAGCTTGGTACGGCGAACAAGCAAGTCCATAAGTCACCGTTTTCAGCTGATAGACTTGCAGTGGCATAGATTGTTCCCGACGCCATACGATCTTTAGATACCGCCGATCCTCAGGATGCACCCACATTTGGCGAAACATTTTTTCCGCGTCCGCATTGAAGACGTACTGCGGCATCCGGAAATTAAAAACGCTGGATAGCAGTGGTGGTTGTACAGTGGGGCCAGTGTGAAGAATATCGTTGAGAGAAAGGGCACTGGATCCTTTGCTGCTAGCGTCAAAGACAATCCGAGTTTTTGTCGTGCTGCTTTCTGGCCGATGAACGGCATGGTGCGGGAGGAAATACTGCGGGCCCGCGACACGAGAACCAACTTCCATATGCCCTAATCGTTCATAGTCGTCCATAAACTTTACATATTCGTCACGCAGATCGTTGTCTCGAGCGAACCGTTTCTCCATAAACAGAAAACGTCGTACTGCTTGGTCGTAAGAGTCTCCTAACAGCGGGACCATGGACTCCCAAAAAGGAAGACGTACAATGTACCGCCCAGTAGTATCGCGTGACACGGTTTGAAGAAAGTGTTTTTCAACATCCTGTTCTATCTGGTTGAGAGTCTTTCCGACATCGAAATTCTCGATCTCCCACATCTTCTCTAGTTGGGTATTTAAATTTTGATCAGTGGCAACATGACATGCCACCGTTCTGATAGCGCTTGTTGAATATTTTCCACAGACCACGTAACCGAGCACAGTTTTCTGCAAAATAGGGTAATTGTCAGCCAAAACCATTTGATGCGATTCAATAAGCGAGAAGAATAATTCGGCCCTCACAATCATATCGACTCCATTACTAATATTAAACTTTGGATCTGCTAATGGTAAA